AGTTAACTTTTGAAGGAAGTTTTCGTGTACTTTTCCTCATAAAGTGTACTTTTAGTTAACTTTTTCTTTACTCTAAATCTTCACTCTTAACATGTTAACATCAATGAGTAGTTTTAGTTAAGTTCGTTCCACCCGGGAAGAAAACTTCTCAAAAAACTTTTATGGGTTATTTTAACATGACTAAAACACGTCAAAAAATCAGTTTTTTCGTTGCCGTTTACTGTTAATAAAAAAAATTGCCCGCGAGGACAGGCAGTATCCTCTCTCAGAGTAAGCCGTCAGTCAACCCTCGGGACGCTAAAGGTTCCCTGAAATAAACCAAAGTCAAAAGGGGTCGCTGTACGCCTATTTTTGTTATTCCCCGCCTTTCCCGCCTATGAAAATGTTTACTCTGTGTCACTGTATTATACAACTGACTATCATGTATCTGCCTGACGCAATGTGCGCGCGTTGTACATACCGCCTCCCTGTAGTGCTGAACGCATGTTGACCTTTACTGAAATTCAGCACAACTTCCTTTTTCTTCGTGTTCTTTTTTTCAAAATTTGTATTCATGCTCGCTCAACTTCTGCAAAAGAAAAAAAATCATTGTGAAGCACAGGGCTTTGCGCTGCTGCTTGTTTTCGTTTCTTAATCATCTGAAAACTTGTTTCAATGACAAGGGGTTGAGAAGTACTTCAGCTTTCTCCTTGTAACGATTTTCACTGCACAAAACTTGCGCATTTTGCCCGTCTGTACTTTTATCTGCATATGACTGACAACCAATCACGAATCACGTAAGAGGGTAAATCAGTTGTGCTTGAGGATAGTTTTTTTCTTTCGTCCATGCAGATAAAACCATGCTGTTATTGCAATAATGTAGGGCATGTCTTTTCTTCCGGGGAACTAAATCCGTCGATGCGATACAGCTTATCATTGTAAAAGAATTGACTGTGTATTTGCGTAAACTGTAGAAGTGTGGAACGTAGCTCCCAGCCCCCATCATCCTGGTAGGCCTTTTCAATGTCCTAACGAGTGCTTGGAAGACACTGTTAAATATATTTTGTGACCTTTCAAAACCTTTAGCATAGGACCGTAACTCGCTTTCATGCGGTTGTCATTCAAAATGACTGTACATTGCATTGATGGTTCATTTATTATTATTTTTAGCCACTTTTTAAATATTTTTGTTTACTGTCAAACTCTTCTGAGTCAACATTTGAAACATGTTTCTGATAATTTTTAAGTGTATAATTTAACTGTTTAAACGAGCGATCTTCTATTTTAAGGTCAAATAACTATCACCTCTTGCATTTTTTTACAATGTGTGCTTGTCGGTGCGTGTTTTATGAAAGTGCACCGTTACAACTAATTATTAAAAATTATTTTTTTTCTTATTTTTCTGTACCCGATATTTTCATGTTCTGTGTAGTGTCGCCCCATTTGTTACATATCTGTTTTAGGCCAGGCTACGCTCCCTCTGTGCATGAATCATTCCTCGTGTTTTTAAGATGTTTGTTGCAAATGTCATCGATGCTATAATTCAAACTCGTTTTCCTTTTCCATTTAAAAAAAAAAATCTGTTATCACAAGGGGATAATATTTTTTAAAAAGAATAAAGTTCGAATGACTGTACCATTCCAAATCGTGTCATTTCTTTCACTCCACGACCACAGACGCACATATCGTCCAAAGAAAATGGAGAAGTTCCTCCAGAGAGAGCGATATCGTC